AACAACAATACCAGTTGAACTTGTCAGGTTTCATACAACCAAGTAGTTTAGAAAGGAAAATGTTAACAGGCTCATCTGCTAGTAGACTATACCATAAATATTATCATAGGATCTATTTATCAAGTGGTATCTTTTGGGCACTATATGTCATTGGTTATCATCTCATTTAATGCTCACAACCATATTAAAGGGTCATTAAACCTATTTTACAGATGAAAAGACAGGTTCAGCAATTTTTCCATCATCACCCAGCCAGGCCAGTAACTGGCAGGATCAACATTTGTATACAGATCTCAGATTTCAGGCCACATTCTCAATATACGCTACCATGCGTATATTGTCCTCATTCCCTAGCCCAAGCAGTGCCTTTTGCACTCAATCCTGGTTATGTAGAGTTAACTCTTGATGTTTCTGTGTTAACCACATATAGAGGTGGGAAGTCTAAGAAACTGAATGAGGTACAGAGAACCCAGGTCCAGCTCAAGTGGAGGAAGGCCGCTGTGATTCCACAGAGAGCAACCAGTCAGCACTCCGCTCACAAGATTCCATCCCCACTTGGGATTGCCACTCCCATGGAGTAACTGGAGGTGGATGAGCCACTCCTAGGCTGTTTATAATCTTGACAGGCACTAAACCAGGACACTTCTCAACCCTGACAAACCAAAATCCCACCTAGAAAAGATTCCATGACTCTTTGCTGTTCATGGCTCCTTGAGGAAGAAAGGACAAAATTTAGCAATGACTTTATTTACTCATTTATTTACATTCCACTGCTTTTCAGAATGAATTGGCAGTTTAAAATTAAAAACCCAGAATCAATGAAACAATTATTAATTAATTACTAATCAACAGTTGGCACTTATTGAGCATAGATTATATATAAACATTAACATATAATACTGTTTTATCCTTTCACCCTTCACAGCCTTTTGAGATAGGTACTACTTTTATGGTGCAGATTTTACAGATGAAAACAAAAACATAGGAAAGTTAGAACATTTCTCTACACTTGGTTACACAGCTAGTCAGTGGTGCAAGCAAATTTTAAATCCAATAATCTGATTCCACAGGTGATGCTGACCACCAGGCTATCCTGCCTCATAGAACAAGGGTAAAAGAACAAGCACAGAATAAGATTTGAGGGGTATTAATAACAGAAGGCACAGACAAGCAAAGTGGCTAAAACCGAAAACAAAACTTGATTTGAGCTCCCTACTTGTCAATCCTTAAAGAAAAAGATGAGGAATTATCCTCAGTAGGGTATCCTATTGTCCTGATTTTCATGGGGCTGAGGTGTTCCAATAACACAGGGCTTTCAATGCTAAAAGCGAGATGGCTGGATACCCTACTAATAAAGTTTCCTAACATTTGATTAGGCCTCAGATCAAGAAACGCATACAAATTCTTTATGGTGTTTTCAGACCTACATTGGTTTCTTCAGTACCTCCTCCCACCATCATTTAAAATACTAAATAATTTTCTTATCATTCTGCTTGCAAAAGATGAAGGGGTTGTGGAGAAATGAAGCCTGTTAATTGCTGGGTTTCAATCATCACATCTATTAGTACGTTCAAGAGTCTGGGTAAGTGAGGCACACAAATGCTAGGTTAAATTTTGCTCTGCCACCTCCAGCTGTGCTTTAATTTTCTTTCCCAAGGTCATACAGGATTGCTTTCTTTAAAAAAAAAATCTTCCCTATGTAACAAGCAGAGATTCAAGCCAGTCATTCTTAGAGAGCTTGATAGTAATCCTGTGAGAACTCAAAGACGAAAACTAAACCAATGCTTCATAAAGCTGTCTGAAGCATCAGTTCTGAAATCAGCAATGAGCTTCATGAAGATGAGGACTGGGTCTTATTTATCTTTGTTTCCTTCATAGCACTGCTTTGCAAATAAACATTATCTTAACCACAATCTTAATCTTAGCAAGTCAGAGCTAAAAAAAATCCTTAACTATTATTTGGTGCAAATGTTTACAGGTAAGTAAACTGAGACTTGGAAAAGAAAATTTGTTAGTCAAAAAGCTGAGCTGAGATGAACTGAATTAAATGGGAAGTGAGCTCTTCCTAATTAATGTGAAAAAAAACCAACTACCACCACAAGGCTGTAAGAAAGAAATGAGACATCATTAAAGGGTTGGGGATTTTAACTATAATCCAGGTGATCTGCCAGGGGTCTTCAGAGATCTCAAGTATAAGTGAAAAAAGAAAGCAAATAATTTAAAAATCCCATGCAAAATAAATGAGCAACTACACAAGTGGAAGAGACAAAGTATCTTTACCTACGGGAGAGGAGGAAATTTCTGCCATGACATGTTGAAATTTTCAGAAAAACTGAAATTTTAGACTAAATACTGTATAGATTATTTTCCAGTAAACTAAAGTTTCTATTTAGATTAAGGCCAATTTTTTTTTTTCTTAACATAACAGAAATATGACATGATTGCATTCAACCAAGATCTCTGACTACCTGCTATAGGCCAGTCACTGTGTGAGGTCGTCAGACCTACAAAACAATGCCATGTTCGCAAGCAAGAAAGAGTGAAGCCAAGGAAAAGGTGAGCCAGCCTCCTAACAATACGTACCATCATTCAAACATTCAAAATGTCTGACAGAAAAATTCCAGTGAAAATCTCCAAGCATCAATCCAATCTCTCTATTCAATGCATAACCAAATCAATTGATGAATCAGCCAAGTGTTTTCAAGCATCTGTCACCTGCTCAGAAGAATAAGCCCTCCTTTAAGTACAAAATGTAGGTAAGAATAAGAGTTAGAGGGCAGATAGATAGAGAGGAAGGTAAGTAGATAAACAGATAAAGAAAAATAATAATGGAGGTGGTATAAAGTGTAGCCAAGTAACTTGGGCAGGCCCAGTCATTTTAGATTGGAAAGGGACAGGTAGAAAAGGCTTAAGTGGAGGGACCTAAACTGGCTTTGAGGCATTTGATGAGCAGAGTGTAAGTATGTTAGAGCTATGAGAAATAGTGATGACAATGGCACCAAGATGGAAGGGGCTAAAGGGTGCTCAGATGACGGGGAACAAAACTGTGTGGCTGGAGCAGAGGGTTCAGGTGGGAAGCCCTCACTGACAATAAAAGGGAAAAGGCACACTGGAACTAGCCTGCAGCGGAGTCCTCTATTCCAAGATTAGAAGTCTGGTGAAAGCACTACACAGCTGTCTAAGTTGCCCCATTTTCAAACCATTTTTTTTCAAAAGAGGCATAATTTGATCTTCAAATTTGTTATGGCTAAATGTAAGCAGATCAGCTTTAAAGTTACACGATTTTTAAAATATCTCTGTGCATTCACAGTTTGCCAGTGGAATCTTAAGGCCAAGAACAAGTGAGGAGATATCTGCAGACTTGAAGACTAAGCTGAGGTTCCCCAGCAGTCATTTTCCAAGGAATCTGAGCAAAACACACTTTCTTTTGCCTGAATGGAAACAGCACCTACAAAATTTCTTGTAGTTCTTTAATTAAAAAAAAACAAAAAACAAAACAGCAAAACAGAGCTGAAGCTATTCTAAAATACAGCTTACACAAATACTGCAGCATATTTGAAGAAAAACAAATAAATAAAAACAGTAGAATAAAAAGAATACTTTAATTGAACATATATTTATTGTTCACTTAGAAAAATTTTATCCATCTTAAAACTTTTACCTTAAAATCATGTTAGGAATCCTTCATAATCACGAATATATTTTCATTTAAAGAAAGTATGAAGTTCTTAGAAATAATTGAGCACTAACGACTTACAAGAACTGTTTTTCTTTTACCTTTTTTTGTCACTCAAGCATGCAGTTTTAGAATGGCTGCTTTGCAGAGATATCTCATCATAGGTAACTGAGTTGCTCTCCAGAATATACTTGCAAAGCAACATCCTAGTATTTACACTAATATCCAGGCAGTCAAGGCAAAGACCCTTTTGTCTGGTTAGTGTTTCTAAATTTCAAGGGGTTTGTGTGTGTTTAGGGTGTCCTACTATTTTTTTTTAATGCTCACATAAAACAATTACTAAAAAAAGAGCTTGTGACTTGGACATGCCCCGAGTTCAATTCTTCCAGGAGTGGTAAAAACAGTCAACAGAGCCTTAACCTCCTTTCTATCTTGACCATACAATAGTTTTCAAAGAGGTTTAGTCCTACTATGAAAGACTCATGATTGGGAGGGTCTCATAGAGAATGAGCACCAGGCCTTGAATAAACAAGAGAGATGGTGACCTTTTGCTCCTTTCTGCTGAAAGACCAGCACATCCTGTAGCAGAGGACCAGAAAAGAAGTTGATGTGCAACCAGGTGCTGCAAAATCCTTGCCTCTGGGTTTCTGCCACACTTTGTTCCTTAAACAGTCTAAACCTCGACATGACTTAAATAGTATTAGGGAGTGAGAGAAAAGTACAATTCCTGGAACCAACTGTTCCACTGTCCCTTATTCCTTTGTTCCCCACATTGTTGGAGTCCTGAAGCATGCAGCACACGTTTCACCAGCAACAGGGAAGACAATGGATCTAGCAGTAGCTGGACAATTAGTCCCAATTAGGCCTATTTCCCAGCTGAATGTAAAGGGGTAGTGGGGTGAGGTGTGGGAAAAAAAAATCTACAGAAATTTTAAAGAAATATTTCAGAATGAAGGCTAGCAATACAATGTAAAGCAAATTGAACTAGAGGTCAGGAGTCTCAGGCAAATTTGCTGTGTGGTATTGCAAATACACTAATCTCTCTGTTCTTTACTGTTCTTATCCATAAATATGAGCAACCAACCGCCAGCCCTCAGCGGCTCTGAAGATCTGATGTCAAATTGTGGTTGAAAGTGCTCTAAAAACTTGCAATGCTACACAGATGTACAGGATTCCTCCTGAGCTGTGTTTGAAACCACAGATACCCATCTGATTTGTAAATCGTTTACCTTTTATTCTCCCTAGCAGAAGTCAGTAGTCAGTGCTTTTCTTTTTTTCTACTTTCTTGATTGCTAATTCTGTTAAGTTCATGAGCAATACTTACATATGTACATGTGGAGGCTGGAATCTGCTCTGGTTGATGTTGTAGTGTGTGAATGCTTGGGTGGGGTTTGAGCTGTACTCATCCACTGTTACAGTAACTTTGCCTTGAGAAGGAATCCCATGTGCCATCCTTCCTCCCTATAGGCATGAGCAATTCACAACTTTACAGAGCAAAAGATGGAAGCAGGCATGGTGCGTTTCAGCCAACCTCTGAATCCAAGGATCTACTCATCAATACCGCTGTGCATTTCTGAAAGAAAAAAAAATACGTATGTAAAATAAGAACAAAGAGAAATAAGGTGTTCTGAGAGACATTAAATTTGACATCTAGACGTGAAACTAGTTCAGGGAAAATCTGAATATGTGTTGTTGGTTCATGGATACAACTGTTCCCAACTCTCTTCCCTTCGTGCACTTCAAAGCAGATATTACACTCTATACATCATTGCCGGGTGCTAGCAAATCATCTCAATGGACTTCAAACTAAGATTTCCTCTTTAATTATAATTATGGCACTTAACGTGAATTACGGAAGGGGCATATCTACAGTTGCCATGGTTTCTGACTATACATGGTTTGTGCTCAAAGTGAAAAATCTTCCAAACCTTTCCTGCTAATTGGAATGTTTGGTCTTTACAAAGTTGGTGTCGCATAATGATTTGAAACCTCCGTGTTTAAAACAGCCATATAACACAACGACAGATAAGAATTTAAAATGTCGTGCTTATAACAAATACACGTGTATAACTATAATACGCACATAATACCCACACATTACACATATTTTCTCCTTTCACAAGCAGCTCCCAGAATACATAGGTAGGCAATGCTCGGCATTCTTCTCTGGCCCAGAACCTTATGGTAAGGCAAATCCTTCTTGTTAAATGTAGTGTCATTTCTTTAAACACTCCAGTCACTCTGGGAAAAGCCAAACACCTCCAGGTCTGGACCACCACTTCGAATGTATTCATTACCTCCCCTCTTCAAGCCCCAATGAAGCGGTAAAGGAGGGTGGCCATTACATCTGCCACTTCATTCTTGGTGCAACATAATTCTCAGTAGTTGGTTTCATTTTTAAAAAAATTCCATTAGTTCTGATTTTTTCATAAATGTCAATATATTATTTGCTACACTGGGTTGAGAAATAAAGATAGCTATTTTTATGGTGGGTGTGCAAAGGCTGAGGAAAGCAAATTCTCATGTCCAAGTTGTTGAAATGGATCAGTGCGGTAGACAAGAAGCCGTAGTACACTCCTTGAATAACCCTTAGGTAACCCATGCTCTTACTTTAAGTGCTCCAAATCAGAAGAGGTTTGCCGTGTGCACCATTAAGCTCTGAGAATCTTAGCTGCTATTTCAAATAAAAATATTTAGAATAATAAGATTAGATTTAAATTTGGCATGAAACACCTTAAATATCGAGCAAAAGGCAGATGGCCTGCCATAGGCCATTTATTTTATTATTTTACAACCTGGGGCTTGTGTAGTCCTCCATATGCTGGCAGGGCTAAGAAATTCCAGAGTGTTCTCCTCAAATCATTGCCTTCTTCCTATTCGCAAAGCAAGCTAAATCACACCCACCTTGCCTGCTTTCCTAATGTACAAGTGCACTGCCAAGAGATGAATCCCCATGCTCTGGCATTTTGAACAAAGTGTCACTTTGGGTTCGCCTTCCTTTTCCTGACTTCATGGGAGGTATGAGTCTTTTAAGCGCCAGATGATAGACAACCAGGCTGGCAGGATTAACTAAATTAAAATCTTGCCCCGCTCCTCTGATGTAAGATATCTATAAGAACTGCTTACAAATCATAATGTAGCAGTTTTCATACCAAGTTTGCAGCTGTTTCCTTAATTTCCCCCACAATTATATTTTACTGTTATTTTGCATAACAGTAAAACACAACACCTGCTTCAAATTGCAGTCCTGTTCTAAGTACTGTAATTCTCTTTTGAGACACAAAGTACCGAGACACTACTGAAGCGCAAAACTGCATAATTGCGTGGCGCTGAAAAGTAAATACGAATGAAAACATCTTCCTGTTATAGAAATGACTGTCATTAAAAAGAATGTTAGCCATCAAAGCACAGAGGGGGAAAAATACACATTTTCAGACTGTGAGAACTTAGTGTTTGCATAAATTAGAGAGTGGTGTAAAAATTACTTGACAATTCTTATGTTCCTTCTTCCATCAATGTCTATTGTGTGAAATACTGAACATTAAGAAGCAAAGGAAATAAAATTCATGTCTAGACCACTGTGACCTCTGAGTAACCATCTCTGCACCCAGTGCTAGAAACACTTTAAATATTTCTGGAGTAAACACTCTAATTAAACCAAGCAAATGTGGCCTAGAAATAAAATATACATACCTAATATTTAAACATCTATGCAATGACTTGTAGCAGTCAGCATGATACCCACCCAAGTTCTACTATTTGAAGCTAAGAAGAGACAGAGCTTAGCAGCTGATCAATTTGCACTCCTAGATGATCCGCTTGATCCTAAAGTCATCCTTCTCTATCAGTGAACATCTATACCTCTTTGCACCTTTGCCTCAGTAAGACAAATAGAACATCTTTTCATCAGCAAGCACAGGCCCCTGTAACTCTGAAAGGCTAAATGGGTGGCTGGCACCTCATTTGAATTCATCTTTGCCATGTTCCCTTTCAAATGTTTTATCGAAACAGTGCACCTGCAGTGTCTATCTTCTTTAATCTAGGGTCCTTTGAAGGAAATGTCAGACTGAGGCAGAGAGCTTCAAAACTTTCCCAGCACCTTTACAGACAAGTCAAGAAAAGGCTTATGTTTTAAAATGCTATGTTCACTCCCACCCATATCTCCAAATGAACATATCCTAAGAATTTTAAACACAAACACCTGGAAAAGACTTCTTTTTTTTTTTTTTTTTCTCTCAGGGACAAGGGACAATGGACAAAACCACCTCCTATAACCTGAGAAATTTGGAGACAGCGTGAAACAAGACAGAAAGATACACTGCCTAAAACTATCAAGAAGCTGTATATTTAGGCAGTAAAACTTTCCAAATGATCAGATTTTGGTGCATCTCATCCTCTTCACACTTACTTTAACTTTTCACACAAAATATTTAATGAGAACACTATTCTTTTCACAAATTTTCATTTTATACTTCAACATACTTGCTCCACAAAACAAAGGAACCCACTACGAAATATCAAGAAGTCTAAAGAAAATCTAAAAGGGACTGACACTGCCAAACAGTCATGCTGGTACTAGTTTGATTTTTCTCTTTAAAAAAAAAATCATGTGAGTACATTTTGCATTTCCTAGACAGCAATCACTTCTGTCCTTTAAGCTGTACAACTAGCAATATTCTTTTCCAGGAATCTAGTTGGAAAACATTTTAAAGTAGGCTGGCAATGAAGGGATTGAAAGGTGAGGAATTAAATAACTCTCTCTACCTCCTAGATACCAGAAGTCCGTTTTACCAAACTTTCAAAGCAACAGCTCATGACCTCTCTAACCGTGCACTGACCACCAGCACAGCCTATGAGAAAAGAGCCCGCGGTTTCCTCCTTTCAACAAGGATGCTCATTTTAATCACTTGCCCCAAGATCTTCCGAACGAGCCTGGCGAGACTTTGGAACTTGCCTGCTCCAAATCCGCCAAATTTCGCCCTCTCCTCCCTCTGCCGCGCTGATCCAGTGGGTTCTTAACTCACGCCCCTACTCTTTTATGCCCACTTCCAGTGACTCATCCCTGTATCTGGGAGCGATGCCTACACGCCTTCCCGGAGGGCTTCGCCAGGATTTTTTGGGGGGGATGCTGACATAAAGTTCCACGTGCTCTGTCCACCAAGCGCCCTCCCTCCCATCGCACTTACACCTGAACTTGTCTCCAGCACTGCGGACACCCGGCTGACACATTCTTTCGGAGAGAGAGGGCAAGACTTTTCTCCCGAGCCTCTGGTAACTCGTGGAGTCTATATAAGGTGGGGCGGTGGGGGGCGCGTAATTCTCTACTTTGGATTGGTTTGTTTGTTTTAAATCTAGGGTGGGCAGTTGCGGGGTGGGGGGGGGTGCTTCATCAACTACACACACCACACCCCTCTCTCTCTCTCTCTCTCTCTCTCTCTCTCTCTCTCTCTCTCTCTCTCTCTCTCTCTCTCTGTCTCTCTGTCTCTCTCTCTCGCCCTGCCTTCCAGGCTCACGGCCGGCTCTTCTCGGCTACAACTCCCCCTTCCTTCCTAGAGCACCAGAGCCTTACTCTCTCAGTTCCCCGTCGCCACCTCAGTCCCCTCCGCAGCAGCTGCTCCTGCTGGCCCTGCTAGAGCTAGCGCTCGCGGCCCCGGGCTCCGCTGGACGCCCGTCTTTTTCCTCTCCCTCTTCCCTAGGTCTGGATTGATTGATGACCACCGGCGGCCAACGGCTCTGACACCACGCCATCCTCGTTAGGGCATCACAGCCCCACGTCCCCGACGTCAGCCTCCCGGGCGCGTTGACATCCCCGAACCCACAGCGTGGAGCCGGAACCCCGAGCCGCCGCCGCCGCCTCCCAGCTCTACGCCAGGGCGCTGCCAGGCTCCTTCCCCGGAGCCGCGGAGAAAGGAAGGGAGGGAGCCAGCGAGCGTTGGAAGTGGGTGTGGAGGCCACGGGATCTCCCCTTCTTTTGAAATCTTTTTTCACTTAAACTTTTGCTTGTTTTTTCCCCCCTGACCTGTTTGTGTTTGTTTGCAGCATATCAAATCAATTACACATTTTTCATGACCCGCATTTGCACTTAATTTGGGGGGTTTGTGTGTTGGGGGGCTGGTGATGTACTATAAATCAACTCCACTGGGGCATCCTTAATTTATTTTCTTGCTGATGGATTCCAACCAGCTCCAGAGCCTCTAGAAAAATGCCCCCTTCACCTCCTAGGCCGCAAAACCCCGGAATTCATAGGCTTTACAAAGATAACCTTGTTAAATGTAAATAGCAAAGAAACTCCTGTCTCTGTAAAGAGAAGAAATCCGGCGGCAACGGTTACTTTTCCTCGCCCAGCCCCGACCCCGGCTCGGGTCGCCGGGTCGCCCCGCGGGCTGAGAGCGCAGAGACCCAGGCAGCGGCGGAGACTGAGGTTGGGGCGCGGGGGTCGGGTGAGAAAGAGCCCCAAGCGAGAGCGGCGCGCGCGGGCGGCCCTGGGGGCGGCCGCGGGGCGCAGCCCAAGCACAAAGCTGCGCGGCGCCTTCCCCCAGTCACTGCACCTGGCCTCGGGCCGCCGCGGGAGCCGGGGGATCCGGCCAACACAATGCACCCGGGCCTAGGCCGGGGCGGCTCGAACACAGCACCCCGGGACTTTCTAGTAAACAGCTCGCGGAGCCCTCATCCCCACCCCCATCCCCGCCGCCTGGCTTTCGCCTCAGCTTCTCGCCGACACCCGCTCCTCTCCTCCTAAGAAATCCCGGCGGAGGAGGGGGCGAAGAGGTGGGGACCCCCAGAGGTCTGGGGGCCGATGGCTGGCAGGGGTTGGGGAGAAGACAAGGGGCGCAGGATGGAGAGTGGGAGGGAAGACAGCTCCTAAAAAAGAATTTGTTTTTGCTCAGGGGTTGAAAATCAGCCCACCCCGGGCGCCGAATTGCCCGGGAGGCGCCCGCTCGTGCGGACGTCAGGGGCACCGGGGCAGCTTGGGTCCGCAGCCTCCGAGCCCCTCGCACGCGCCTCTGACAAGGCACCTCTCACCCGGGCTCCGCTTTGTGTGTGCATTTTTTTCCCTTCCCCTCGCGCTCGGCACCGGGCTCCCGGCCGCCTCCTCCCCCTCCCCCGCCCTCCGCCTCCCTTCCCGGGGCGGATTACCTTTCCCGGGCTGCGCTCCGGGTCCGGGGGATGCCTTCAGCGCCCGGCGAGCAGGCGATCCATCGCCGAGCGGCCCGAGCCGGCAGGAGGAGCGCTGGGGGCGCGCGGGGGCGGCGAGGGGCGCGGGCGGGCCAGAACCTTCGACCCTGGAGGTCCCGCCGCGGGCTGGGGCTGGGGGCCAGGGGGCGCGGCACTAGAGGGAGGCGGGGGGGAAAGGACCCGAGCAGCCTCGATCTGGGGAGAGAGCGAGCGAGGGGGCGAGGAGAGGGAGCGAGGGCGCGGCGAGCCGGAGGGAGCGCGAGCGGTGCAGTGACAGGGACTGCCACTGGGGTCAAAGGAGCACAGCTCCAGGAAGCAGGGCTGCCGAGGCGCCGCTCCGTGCGCGCTCCCCGGCGGGACCCCGCGCCCCTGCACGCCCCTCCTGCAGTCCCTGCCCACTCGGACCCCCACCGGTGCCCCGAAGCCCCAGGGTTTCGAGGGGAGGAGGGAGCCGAGGGCGAGGCCCGGCAGCCTGCTAGTGCTCCAGGGTCAAGCAGGCGGCAGGAAGCTGAGCTGCAAGTTCATCATCATGAGTGTGATCTGCGTAAAAAATGATAGGGGAAGGGAGGCGGGCTAAGGTGCCCCAAGAAAATAAGGGAGCTTTCCCTCAAACGGTGTTCTGCAAGGAGAACACCCAGGTCCCCCCACCCACCGACCTGCCAGGCTCTGTCAGGAGTCCTGGCACCCTTCCAGGACGCAGGGCTCACCGCGGGGATAAGGGGAGCGGTTGGGACACTTCACTCAGACCTAGGAAGGCGACCCTAGATTCCCTCCCATCTGCTGAGGCTTTCCTTCGAGAGAGCTGTGCTCCTTTTACCCCAAGCCTTTCAACACGCCAGACACACACACACACACACACACACACACACACACACACTCACCTCTTTCTCTCTGCAATGTTGTTGCTGAGAAAGAAAAGGCCAACCCAGCTGATCATTTTTTTCACCTCCGTGAATTAAGGCAGGTTCAGGACAGAAAGGTGAGGAGAGGCAAAGACTCTAATTGTTTCCATTTCCGTCTTTTGGATAAAAATTTCCTCAAAAGATAAGTACTTCAAAAGCATTTTTTAAAAAAATAAAGTTAGTCCAGTTTTGTCTGCTACTTTGAAAAATGGAAGAAAAGGTTTTCAGAATTGTATGCAAACAACACAAGGAAAGGAAATGCCGCTGAAATGCTGTAAGACAGAAGACAAGGAAGAGAAGGCTTTTAGAAAACTTGGTTGGCAGGATTGTCTGTGAAAGATGAGGTGGCCCTGTGATGTTATGTCATTGTCATTGCTGAAAGATTGGGACAGCAACCAGATCTAATTCCTTTCTAGGAGTCAGACTGAAAGATCTGTGCATTCTCCGAAGGGAAATCCAATGTATATGTGTGTGAGAGAAAAGTATGCTAAGTCTACTATGTGACAACTGACTAGACATCCTGGCTGAAATTATATCCCCTAAAAATAAAAAGGAACCATTGCAACCTGGTCTATGGCCTCTGTGCTGAGACTAATTGGTTTCCAGGGTCTGGGGAGGAAGGGAGAGAGGCTTGTAGGAGCCCCTATAAAAAAAAGATCAAACGGAATTCACTTGAAAATATTTCCCTTTTACAGTGGGCTTTCCTGGCACTTGAATTTTAAGCAACCCATCTCTTATGCCTAGGCTGAAATGAAAGGGGAAATGGTCTTACTAATGTATTTATTTTATTTTACAGCATGCCCAGAGTGTCGGTCCTTGTCAAATGTGCTGGAGTGGAAAGGACAGTGTCTTTCCTTGCCCAGCACAAATCAGAACAAGTGACATTGACATTAAAGGGTGCCAAAGATGGGGCGTAGGATCACCTTTAAATTTTGTTTTCTTTTGTCTTCTAGTCCATCAGCACACACTGACTAGAATCACGTTTTTGAAGAAATATTTGGTTTTGTTTCTCTTACTCTGTGACTAAGTAGTACATTCCTCATATCTAAATGGTTTGAATTTTTAGACTGATTTGGGCTGATTAAATCAGTTAAAAAAAAAAAAAGCATCACCAGCCAAATAATTTCTGTGGTTTCTTCCTTAAAAAAAAAAAAAAAAAAACAACTAGCAGTCAAACAAAGCAGACAAACTAGTTTGAACATGATTCTGAATCTAAATATGTGCACCTAGACAGTAAATAATCATGTGTTCTACTTGAGCCGCACATTTTACAGGATACTTAATGCCATAAAAAATCAAGCGGGTGATCCTTTACAAAGTTGATGAAAATTTGTATACCATTTTACTGAGTGGGGAAAATTGAGGTAAAAAGGCTTAAAATTGTAATTTGCAGTGCTGGAAGAAGTCAACCTGCTGATGGATCAATTATCCAATAGTGACCAAGGTATATTTGGATTATGAATTTTTATTTTCATTATGCTACTAACAAGCTGGAGATATGAAAACGACTTTAAATAATAAACCAGGAGCAAAAAGACACTCACCTTTCAAATAATTCTCTTTATGTGGATTTGAACATATTGCATTTTGTTAAATCATATTGGCCACAAATACAGCTACCTACACTAAAAGTTTAATTTAAAATGAATGGATGTGAACCATGTCTATCCCACCTCCCATATAAGCTTTGAAATGTTACCTCATTATATCACATTTTAAATCCTATAAGCTGCAGCTTTTTTAAAGATAAATGAGTCTATAAATTCCATTTTTTGTTGTCGTTGTTAAATTCAGCTTGTATTGTGTATAATGGAAAAGAAAAGAAGGGTGAAAATCAAATGCTAAGTTTGCGATTGGAGTCAAGGAAATATTACAAATTTTTTTATTTTAGTGGAATTCAAAGCTGGACCCTTTCCCCAATGATTTCATTGAAAGACCTGGTATATATGCTTCCTTATAGCCCACTGCAATACTTTTTAAATTATCTTTCCAGAATGCATTTAAGAAAGAAAATGAGAAAAAGGAGTGTGGGAGAACTTTGGGTGGAAGCTTGGAAAGAAAATGATGCTTCCCTTGAAAGCTCAATACTTTATTTGGAGTTGGCTTTCATCTTCCCTAGGAGAACAGGTTTTTGTGTACTTCAGAGATGCGTACAGCTTAAAACTTGGTTCAGTACTGTGATTCTTCTTCTGAAAAACAATTCATTGAAATTACTGCATTTTGTTGAATAATTTCATTGAATCGATATATACCAGTTTAACTATAGGAACAAACATAACTATTTTACTTCTTATTTTCTTGTAATTGTAATCATTTTTATCATTTTCCAGCAAAAGCTAAGATGTATATTATCAGAAATCAGAGGCTTTTAATAGAACTACCACTATGATGCAATTAGAAAATAAAACTGAACCCACAAACTATTTGTTTTCTGAATTCTCACAGTTCTTACATGTTTTTGACTTGTTTCATTCAAATTCTTTCATTGTAACCCCTCCAAGTTGAATAACAATGTCCTGTATTTCTTTGGGTCTTTTATCTTTATGTTGGAAATGGTTGTTAAATGATTCTATAGGTCAATAAACGAGAAAGTAAAGAAGAAAACACATCCGTGAATGAGGCAAATACACAATGAAGGAAAATCCACACCAGATCTGCAGGAAAGGAAGTGATGTCATGAGACAGTGTTATAGGATAAGAGCTAAGGACTTCCCAAGGAGTTAAAATAGCACATTTTAAAGGTCTTGCTAATGGCTTTAGAAACATGAAATAATCCCAAGACTGTTTCAAAGATTCATTTTCTTATAGAGAGGCAAGATTGTTACATATCATGTCCATTTAAAGGCAGCCCTCTTTTTAAATACAACAGGATGCCACAATAAAAATAATTGTGAGTAAAACTTGTTCCTTAAAATTTACAGAGATGTATCAAGACATTCTCAAAAGAAACTTATCTGATTAATCTAATTCTGTGATTGATCCTTTTTGAAATCCTCAAAATAAATATATGAACAATGTTGTTGTTTTTTAAAGTGTAGTACTTTATGTTTAAATTTTTCTTTGGTTAACCAGTAAAAATGTTTATGGGTTAAAAAAAAAGAATCAGGAAGCACTAAAACTGATGAAATTTTATTTCATAAGATAAATGTTCTGCTCATTATCATCTTAGAAGGGCTAAATTTAATTCAGCTTTGCCTGCAGCTTAAGTAGCAAGCATTGGGAAAGAATCTTAAAATTTAGCAAAATGCTCACGAATCCTTAACATGCTTACTAGCCAGTATCTAGCATGTATCAAGTAATCAGATGAATATTATTTATGCAATAATTAATTTTAAAAGTCTGAAGCTGATACTAAGCCTGGATTCATGCATTCTTAGTGTTAGTAACCATCCTAACAGACATCCATAATCACTGTGTTGACCTAGAAGGAACAGGCTAAGGCACAAAATATAATTTAAAGAGTTAACTTGAGCCAAAGTGTGAGGACAACTGCCTGTAAGATTCACACCCAAGTAACATTGAATATGAGCTTCCTTTGGCCTTTGTTACAAGCAACTTTTTAAAGGCAAAAATGGGAGACAGGGAGTATGCCGAAACAAAGTTCTCCATAAAAAATTCTCATTGGTTTACAGAAAAAAGTTGACTGCTGGTTGGCTGGACATTGTCAAGCTAAAGAGTGTGAGTTACAGTTTCCAGTGAAGCATTATGTGGTTAATTTATAGCTACTAGGGACAATAACAAGCTGTTTCAAGAGATGAACATGTAGTGCAAAGGGTGCAGGTTAGATTGGACTTACTGTCTCATTTTAATGTCTCTCTGGACCTGATAATTTAAAAGGACCCACATTCCTCAAATAAAAGTTCTTTTCTCACTTTTAATCAATTAATGCTTGCTGAGTCTTTCCCCAGGTCATGGTCTCAATTATGGAAAAGTGGTAGCATCTAGTGGTACTTGGGACAGTCTTGTCAAGGTGAAAAAGAGCTTTCTCATTGAAGTAACTCAAAATAGTCTCTCTTGAAAGATGAGTGGTATAGAAACCCCATAAAAACCTGGTAAAGAAAAGGTATATGAGCATTTCGAAGTTTAATAATTCAATTTGGCAATCTAGCATAAGATATATGTATTTCAGGAAAGCAATGTATAATGTAACTTTCCTTCTCAGCAAAAATAAATGAATGAATGGATATAATTTGTGTATGAGAGACCAGCAGAATATAAAACCTTTTCCTTGCTATATTATTAATGTAATGGCTTGATTACAGTATTCAGCAAATATTTTTAAGCTCTGCTCTGTGTGGGCATAGTTCTTAAACCATGCTGATGGTCTAATGATATAAAAAAGCACAGTTCTTTCCACAGTATGAAGTATACAATCTTAGGGGAATGGGGAGACATTGACTTAAAGCATCACCATGAATGAATGCAAATTATGACTGTGTAAAGGAGAGGTCTGTGCAAAGAAAACAAAACAGGAAAACCTTTTCTCCTCTGAGGTTGAATGAAGTTCTCCCTGGTGGAGGAAATGAATATAAGGAGGTCACAGGAAAAAGAGAAGCCAGTGTGGCCAGGTATTGAGAGTGAAGATTTGCGTGGTGCAAGAGTGTCCAGGATTCATCTGGATATGTAGGTAGGGGCCAAAACTACGAGGCCATGCTAAAGATATTTGAAGGTCACAGTAAGGCCCTGTTTAAGATGTTTGATATTATCCTGAGGACAACAGGAAGCTGTTTAAAAATTTTAACTGGAAAGGGTAACATGATTAGATTAGTGTTTTGAAAAGATCACTATTACCCCATTGCATAAAACGGATTTTAGGGAACTAGAGTGAACACAGGGAGGCCATTTGGGAGCTATTGCTATCACTGGGTTGGAGTTGGTGATAGCCTTAGCCAGGACAGCTTTGGAGTAGAAGATGAGACCTAGAGAGAAATGAGTAGAAGAGATTTGAATGCATTTTGCCTAAGAAAAACAAAGATTACCAGAATCTGGAACTACTGGCTAACAGCACTGTGGTACGCAGCCAGAGAGGTTGAGAGCCATACTCACCTAATGACTTTTTTGAGCATCTAATTCCACACACACTCCAGCCTCCCTATGTCTCTAAGTCATCTTCATTCTATCCGATATACACCTCTTGGGATTCTTTGTTTCACGAAGAACTGCAGCATTAAATACAACACTGGTATAAAATGTCACTAATCTAACTTTGTTCAAACTTACAGATCCTAAAACTAACTTTATCCTCCTTTCAATGTCCCATACCTATTTCTGGCCCACAAACAAGCTGGTTCTTATTTCATGTGAGATGTAAATGCAAGAGGCAAATGTATTTGTGTTTTTCCTTAAAGACTTTGAATGCTACATCAATTCCTTATCTGTCTTCATCAGAACTAGTTCACAGATGTTTAATATTCCATGCACTATTCTAAGAGATCCTTAATAAATGTTTGCTTTTTATTG